AAAAAAAAAAAAAAAACTTTCATAGGATCCATTCAAACTCCTAGATTCTTGAGTTCATATCCAGTTCCTTCATTATCTGTAGACCTATCTTCCAAACTGCCTCTGGTGAAAACAGACCCAGAGGACTAGTAAACTGAGGGAGTAGCGAAACAAAACAAAAACTAATGATAATAAAGAACGAAATTAACAGGGAAATCGATATAATTTGTAGTAAAGCAGCAGCTGTGTCCTTGAATGACCTTGAGTATGTTTACTTTTTGAGGCTTCAATTTCCTTAAATAATTCAAATAAAACAATAAAAACAAAAAGGGGGGCAGGTAGACCTGACAACCTTTAAGATCCCTTTTAGTTCTAAAAATGTTATGATTTTTAAGCTGGTTCCAGTTTTAGGTGATCTTACTGCAATTTCTCATTTTCTTTCACTCATTTTCTAAGCTGCCTGGTAACCTGTCCTCTAGGACAAGATGGCTCCTATCTCCAAGCCCTGGTCATCCTTTCTTTCAAGATTCCTGTGAGTACACCTAGCTCCCATACTCCACCCCAACCCTCTAAATGGATGGCTTAGTTAAGAGCAGTGGAATGAAAGTTATACAGCTAAGGACCTAAAATAAGGAAAATATTATACTCTTCCTTTTGAACAAAAATCTTACTTTGTGCCAAGAAAGAACTGAAACCTCAAAGCCCCTTGGTACACAGTACCCTTTCCCAACCCAAAATGTTAAGAGCAAAAGCTCTGTATCTTGTTGACAATGACAGCAGTCAGGCTCAGCAGTACCATATGGGATCCACAATTTAGCTCCATTAATGCTCTTAATTTGAAGACATCAAGCCCTAATTACACACTGGGTACTAAAAAGGCAAAACCCTTCCCTGGTGCCAGCTACTTAGTGATACTCTGTTGCCTTAACAGCTGGTTGAGGTAGATTCAGGCCAAGCTGGGGCCTGTGAGCGCTCTCAGGTGGAAGAGGCCAGCAAGCAGGGACAACAAGGCCCAGCTTCTGAAGTCAAAGCAAATGGGGAATAATAGGTTCCCTTTGCCCACATCAATGCATCAGTGTGATCCACTTCTAGTTCCAGTGGGTTGCCTATTTTAGGTTAATTCTTCCCCAGCCCTGTAGAGTCAGTAAGGGATACAATCCTGTGCTGACCCTAGAGGATGAGTTTGACAGAACTGGATTTTCATTCCCTTTTCCACTCTGAGGGCTATTTCACCGCACAGTGAGAGGTGGTGGTGCTCACCTCCTGTTCCATGTTGCCATGCAGCCGTAGGAATTTTAATCGCGTGGAGGCAGATGGTAAGTGCCCTGATGCTGGGGCCCCTGAGCTGCTCAGCAGGGTCTGAAGGAAGAGGTTGTAGTGGAACTCCACCAGCTCACAACTTGAGAAAAACACAATCATTTTCTGTTTTTTTTCAAACTACATCAATACAAAGAGGAGGAGAAAAGAAAAAAACAAAACCAGAAGTTTTTAAGATTGGGTAACACTGAGATGAGTATTTCTCTAAAATACATAGTCACGCTGCCCTTGATTTGAAAACATAGGTGACAATTTTGAATTATTAAAACAATAAATAAATAACACCGATACTACACTCTATAAAGAATGCTGGAAAGGAAAATGGTATCGCTATCACCTCAAACAGGTTTTCCGTACCTGTGGAAAACAAACAGACTTTAGAATGAGGCTGTTCATTAGCTCTGTTCCTCCCGTGTTCAGTGCCACATGCAACACTACCCAGCTGGGCTCTGAGTATAAGGTAGACCGTAACGCTTCATACCCAAGCCCTTCCAGCTACTGTTTTCCCACATATTAGAGGAAATGATCATACGACTCTAGCAAATAAATGCACAAATACTATTGATTCGTTAGAAAACACGAACACAGGTAATAACATGGTACCTTCCATGTGTCTACTACTTGTAATGCGCCCAATATTAGTCCCAAGAAAGTTATTTAGAGCAGATTTTAAGATGAACATAATGGCTACTATTGACCCCTGATTCTTCACTATAATCCTAGAACCACTGAAACGTTATCTTAACACAGAGTTAAGTTGGAAAACTTTTCTTTTTGGTGTTTGAACTAACTATTGATATCTGACATAAACAAAACAGGTCTTTCTTCTGTGGATTGAGCCAGGTCTGGTCCGCCGTCCTACCTTGCACTTCTGAAGGATGAAGGCTGCTAGGCAGACGAGCCTCAGTTTGCTGGGAACTAATGTCACGTGCTGATAGAGACTCTCTGGTATCGCAAAGCTGTCCAGCTTGTCACTAGTCTGTGGATGAAAGACTTCATGGGCTGCTTTGTCCTTCTGTTCTGACTGGTCATGGCTTTCGTCCAGTACAGAAATATTGACTGGATTATGCAAACTGATATCAGCTAGCCATGTTACACCTTTGATGAAAAAGGCAAAACAGATGACAAGCAGACACTGTGAAACTGGTCACACAGGCATACCCACACATACCACACATTCAGACATATTAAGAAAGTTCTAATTGGTATCATTCATGTTATAGCACCGAAATGGCCTATTATCAATCTGGTTCAGCAGACCCACTGGTTTCTTCCTATTGCCTAACAATTTATGCATACCAGTGTTTTCTAAACTCTGGGCTATGGAACCAAACCAAAAACCAAACTCATTGCTGTCGTGTCAATTTGACTCATTGTGACCCCTCCCTGGGTTTCCAATGCAGTATCTCTATGGAAGTAGATTGCCTAATCTTCCTTATGAGGAGTGGCTGGTGGGTTTGAACTGCCAGCCTTCTGGTTAGCAATCAAATACCTTAGAGGATAGTAACAGATATCTGCTTACCACCTGTCAAAAAAGAGTTCTAGATCAAGTAAGGTATGAAAATCTTGGGGTAAAAACATTTCTGGGCTTCTACTACAGACATGGGAGCTCTGGTAGCATAGTGGCTAAGACACTTGCCTGCTAACCAGACGGCTGGCGGTTCAAACCCACCAGCCACTCCTCGGAAGGAAGGTTGGGCAATCCTACTTCCGTAGTGATACTGCCTCGGAAACCCAAGGAGGGGTCGCTATGAGTCGGGTTTGACTCGACGGCACATAACAACAACAACAACTACAGACATTCTCAGAACCCTTATTGTGTTAATGGATACCACGAATCTCTGAGATACGGAAATGGTGTATGGCATTTCTCTATTTTTAAATCATAAAATCGCTTTTTCAGATTCTCAAAATTAATATTAGTTAGAACATATTTTGAGAACTGTTAAAGAGTAATGAATTGGCATTTGGCATCTGCATATAATAATGGGGCCTCATAAACCAAACAAAAAAACCTACAAATTCAAACTCATTTCATAGAGTGATTCTGGTGGACAGTAACCCAACTTTTTCATTCCTTAGTGTTCTCATCTGTAAAAGAAAGCTGAAAATTTCTATCTTAGGAAGATTAAATGCGAAAATGAGCTTAAAGACTTTTTTTTTTTTTTTTTAATTTGTTATCTCTTTAAGGGAAATGTAGGGTGACTACCCTAGAAAATGCACTAGGATAAGAGGTCATCATAGGATAAGAGAGCAAGGGCCCACTCTCAATCACCTAACAACTTCACAAACCTACTAGGTCAGTAGTGGTCAACCTTTTTAAAGCTTCTACATTGACATGAGTACCATTAGCATTCTCCTCTCCCAAGATGATTTTGGTTCTGGGACCTTTCCCTCCATGCTCTGGGTAACATATCAGGGTCTTATTGTTGCTGTTGCTGTTATGTGCCATCGAGTCGGATCCAACTCATAGTGACCCCTCCTTGGGTTGCCGAGGCAGTATCACTATGGAAGTAGATTGCCCCATCTTCCCTCTGAGGAGTGGCTGGTGAGTTTGAACCACCAGCCTTCTGGTTAGCAGTCAAGTGCTTTAGACATTAAGCTACCAGAGCTCCTTATCAGGGTCTTAGGTGACTAGAAGAAGGAGCTGGAAGTACAGAATGTATAGTTTGAAAGAACAATCCTCTGGGGACACTTTGCTCCCAAGTTGAGAATCACTGCTGCCAAACAATGCAGACTATTCCTAGGTTCTACTTCTTCATTAAAAACAAAGAAGCCCCGATCACTTCTTTTCAACCCACCTTCTGTGAGTGTTGCTGAAAGCAAGACATTCTGTCGTTTCTGGCATTCTGCATTTACAGCATTGAGTATCACTGTGATGTCCTTTTCAAAACCCAAATCCAAGATTCTGTGATTTCAAGAGAAGGAATTTTAATCTATGAGAAGAATAAGTGTGATACTAGGGGACTACAGAAGTTGAAGTGAAGGAAGTAAAAACGATCCTTTTCTTCAACATTTCAAGTTTCTTGGACAAGACTCACCTGTCTGCTTCATCCAAAATCAGCCACTGTATCCGACTAAAATGAATGTTCTTTGTGGATTTTATATGATCAACCAGACGTCCAGGAGTTGAGATAAGGATATTTATTCCTTTGCGGAGTCTGTTTAAAATTATGTATCATAAAAGAAAGTCAATCAAGCAGGTCTGTATCAATGGAAAACACAAGAGAAAGGTAGGAAAGACAGATTCATGTATGGTACAAACGTGTCACACCTTGAAATCATGAGAAAACATAACAACAAATGGGTCAAAAGATATATTTGTGTTTTAAAACTTTCTTCTGAAGTTTCCATCTCTGTTCAAATGTAATTATTAAGATATGAAATATCATAAAAATTATAAAACCTTACAACTTTGAAAGGAACTGTAATTATACAATCCAATGCTCTTTATCTTATCCGTAGAGTCTTCCTAGAACATTCCAGATAGGTTGTCATCCAGCCTGTTCTTGAAAGCTTCCGTGACAGAAACGCTCTTACTTGAGTGAGTTATTCCATGCCAATGTGCTCTAATTGCTAGAATGTTTGTTCTTATACTAAATCCTTTTTGTAACTTCCATGTTTAGAGGTGATCACTCTCCACTGTTTCAATGTATCCTTAGACATGGAACTAAGAAGTACAACCAAAGACAAGGTTCTCTTCAGGTTTAAAAGAACCAAACGTTATTTAATAGTAAAGTAGGGCAGATAGACTCAGATGAAACTGAAAACAAACCTGGCCTTTTCTGATTTTCTCTTTTCTCCACCCATTAACACTCCAGGCACAATCCAAGTAAATGGCTACAGAAAGAAAACAGACCACAGTCAACGCAAAGCCCCCTTTACTGAAAACACAGAGAGTAACTGTAAATTATTTTTCCTTAAACAAATGGGAGAGAGGATCCATGAGGTACTGTTCTGCAGACACAGTTCCCAGGCATTACCACACCCAGTGTTACTATCAGGGGGAACTTGAATTACAGCTACATAACTAGCTTCTAACATTGTAAGATATATATATATATTTAAAATAAATGATTCAAGTAGTTTCTCTGCTTCTCACCATGCAATCTGCATTGAAATCATATTTCAGTAAGTCTATTGCTTTATATTTTTGTTAAGACTCAAGCACAAGCCTTCTTGACTTCTCCCACCTTCTGATAAAAGAAAATATAGGTCAATTTTATATCTAACTTGGTGAGTTGGCAGGTTTTGACTTTCAAGTCTTCCTTTTAAAATTCTACTTGTAGCTTTTTAAGTTGCTTTCTGCTGGACCACCTTATGGCTGTACCTGTGAGTCTCTGTTACGTGGCTTACTGGTGGATATGATGAGATTATAGAAGCATCAGGAACATCAGTAATCTAGCTAAGCTAGAAATCCACAGTTAATAAGGTTTAGATCAGTAAAACCTAAAAATTGTGCCTAGATAAAGCAGAGGCATCCCAGAAATAGAGAAAAATAGGACTAATTCCCAGCTCTTTGAAAATAAAGACTGCAGTGTATTTCTCTTTCCTCAAAAAGTCAGAATGAAATATATAACTGAACTCTTGGCTTAACTTACCTTAAGCAGTTTCTGGACAGTGTCAAAACTTTGTAGAGCCAACTATAAAAAATATTAAAAGGTCAGAGATGGATGAGTAGGGTCTTTTCTTTCTTTCAAGACAACATAAAGTGATTAGGATCCAAATTTAGACCTCAACTGAATATTTAAGAAAAAAATTAAAATCCTATATAAGGAATATATTCTGAAATATATCCTTTTCTTAGGCCGGTTCCGAAACCTGCCAGTTTGGGAAAATGAGGGTAAAGACATCCCATCTTGGACGTATACAAAAATAGTGTTGTGTGCTCCCTCTGCTGGCTCAAATTCCCAGAGTGCCGAACAGCAAAGTGCAAGTCTATGAGGCACAAAGATGGGAGAGAATGAAACAAAATCAACCTGAAATTGGTTCTCTTTAGAAAGAGAAAGAATATAGATATGCATAAAGGTATAAACAACAACAACAACAACAATGCAACAGGCTAGCCTTTGGGAACTTTGCTTCCAAGGTTATATGATTGTATCTAAGAATATGCTAAGGGAAAGCAGTATCTGAAGACTGAGAGATGGTCATTTCTCCACGTTTATAAAAATAAAAATGAAACCAACAAGCCCAGTGGAAATCTGTAAAAGTGAAACTCAATGTAGGGTGTAACCATCAACCACCATCAAAAAAAATCTTTGCAGAATCTTTTTATCTAAGAATATATACAGTTCCCACATGTTTAGTATTCATGAAGCATTACAGGGAAGTAGCAAGTTTGCTGCTGTAAAAATTTAAATAGCTTCCGTGCCTGCTTCTTTGTTGGACTGAGCAAGGATAGGGCACTGCAGGCTGTATAAAAGGCTGAGGTGAAACATCCATTTCCACGACCAATTCTCTACAAAGAAGTGCTTAGTGTTTGATATAGAAAACAGATACCCTAATCTGAAATTACCTCTGTAGGCAAATAAAATAGATCAGATAGAAGAGATTGCCACCAAAGGAGGGAAAAATCGAGAAGTTTAACTTTCAAGAATAAGTAAAACTTTTGGCAGCAGCAGCTTCTTAAAAAATAAAGGTTCTTCAGAGCCAACTGTTTTTGCTTTTGAATTAAGTTGTAAAACAAAGTACTATTAAAAACATGATTCTTTTAACCCCTTTTTAAATGGACAGAAATTTGTAGTGTCATTAGTTTTTAGACAATAGAGAAATACTTTTCCCTACTTTTCGAAGAGTACTTGAATTTTTCTCCTTGATAGGAACCAGAAGAACGATTCTTGGGGAAGAGTGTGTAGTGGTTTGGATAGCAGGGAGAAAAAGCAATTCAAGGGTATCACTAAAAGTACTTGGTTAAAACTCACCCTGAAGTGAGATGGCTTACCTCTCTTGTTGGCACCAGTACGAGAGCATAGGGACCATCACTGCGCTGTTGACAGAGGAAAGAAATGCCTTGAGTAGGAAGAATAAATATCACTGGGCTCCAAATGGACAGAACTCAAGAGAGGCCAGCTATAAAACATTAGCAGCATTCTCTTTAAAGAAAGGAATAAGACAAGAATGCTCACTGGACCCATTTATTATGTAACATTGTTTTAGAGTTTCTGGCCCCTGCAATCAGACAAGAGAAAGAAACAGGATGTATAAAAAATTTGAAAGAGGAGGCAAAGTGATCATTATTTTAACCTAAAAGGAAACCTTAACATAATCAACTAAAATTTATCACATACAAGATGATTCAGACAGGTAGTTGAATATAAAACTAATATTAAAAAAACCAATAGCCTTCCAACAAAGAAAGTTAGAAAATACAATGTAAGGGGATTGGGGGTGGAGCGGAATAAGCACACAATAACAATAAAAAAGATAACAAGAATAAACAACAAATAATGGACAGTTCCATATGAAAAAAAAAAATTAAAACACCTGTGATGGACGTAAAACAAAATCTGAATAAACAGAAAGATGTCCTATTCTAGGATAAGAAGACTCAATATTATAATCAATTCTCTCTAAATTAATCCGTAAATTTAATGCAATTTTAATAGTATACACACACATGTAAAATGTTATGTATCACCAGACAAGCTGATTTCCAAGCTCTTCTGGAAAAATAAATGTTCAAGAATAACCAAGGTGTTTCTGGAAAAAAAAAGATTAATATAGGCATGTTGGCCCTTTCAAATGTTAAAACAATTTAAAGCTACAGCAATTTTAAAAATTGCTTTTAGCATAAATAGAGTAAACAACAGAAAATATAGCCTAGAATAGATCCAAATACATACAGAAATTTAGGAAATAGTATATGGAGCATTTTATATTAGTTGGAAAAAAATCATTCAAAAGTCCTTTGAGAAAAACACAGAAAAATAAAATTAAAATTGAGTTGGTCATTTTACAGATGACACAAAATTAAAAAACCATAAAAAAAATACTGATAAATTCTATTACATACAAATTTAAAATTATCTAACAAAATTACCTAACTCAAACAAGAGTCATATAACAATGTAGGGGAAAAATATGCCACACATAAGAGAAAAAGTTTCTTGAACTTATAATTAAGTTCTATAAATCAAAAAAAAAAAGACCAAAAGCTAAAGTATCAAAATGGAGAAAGGACATAAACATCTGCTAATTTACTGAAATAAAAATTCAAAGTATGACTTTTACATATATGAAAACATGCTTAATGTCACTCATGAGAGAAATTCCAATTAGAACTACAGACTGGTACTTTTTACCTGTCAAATTAGCAAAAGTAAAACAACTGACTATTGATTAGGGTATGGGCAAACAAAAACTCTTGTACACTGCTGGTGGAAGGGCAAATTGGTATAAGGCCTTTGCCTGTCAATTTAGCTTTATTAGCTACCAAATGAAAATGTAAATTCTACTTACAGGAATTTCTCCTAGAGATACACTCTTTTTTTAAATCATGATTTGGGTTCAGATACACTCACATGTACAAAAAGAAACTGTAAACTACTTTATAGACTAGAACATTTATAATGGTCTTATTTACAGAAAAATATTGAACATAATGTAAATCCTACCAATAAAAGACTGATTCAATGATCTGTAGTACATATACACAATGGAATACTAGGTGGCCGTTAAAAAGAATAAGGCAGCTCTACATGGTATTGATAAAAAAACCATCTCCCAAACATTAAGTGAACAGAAAGCAAGGTGCAGAACAGCATGCATAACAAACAGCCACTTGTATATCAAACCAAACCAAACAGAAAAAAATTTTTTAAAAACCTCTAACTAAAAGGAGGGAAGGAAGCTATGCCTATTCATATTTACTTGCTAATGCAGAGATTCCCCCAGGAGAACAGACAAGAGACTGGTAATAACGACATTGCATCTTGGGAGAAGTGTGCAACCAGGGGGAAAATAAGAGTAGACAGACTGACTTTACCTACATATTTTGTGGCACTCTTTAAATTTTTTAACATGTATATTATATTTATAAATAAAAATAGTAATAAAAAGAAAATAAAGTGGTCTGATAAAGGCTCCTGTGTCAACGGTGCCTTGCACATTGAAAGTGCTCACACATACGTATTGGATGAATCAAAACAATGTTAGTGCAGAAGCTAAGCTCAGATTTAACAGCAAATTCAATTACAAGTATGGTTTTCATGTTTTCTGCATAGGAAACATTTACCCACACGGAGGAAAGGATTTGGAATTCAAACTATAGTTCTCTGTATTCAACATCAACTTTGTGAGACTGCACTGAAGCCTAAGCGAGGAATGGTAAACATGTTAGTACAACAGTATCAATGTGCCACTGTGTGACGTTAGGAAATTCTGACATTTCAAAAGGTGTTACTACACAGAGAAGAAAGAAAAATCAATTCCTTACAGAGCAGAAGTGAGTGAGGAAGGATGGATGTGATGTTAGAAAAATCAGAGCCAAAATAACTGAAGAGTGAAAACAGAAAAGCCGTCCATTCTTATTCCATCACCAAAGTAATTTAAGAATCTGTTGGGTGCCTTGAATTTGCAGCTCTCTCCAGATATGGTTTTTACAGGCCAAATTATTTTATAGCAAGCTCTAAGGGACTATACTGAATACTACTTGAAATAAATGAATTCATTTTGGGCTTGGAAAACTGTGTTTATACAGAATATATTGTCTTTCATAGAATGAGCTGTTATCAATATTAAAAAAAAAAAATCTGAACAAATAAAAAACTACATGCCTTGTTAATGGTTCTGAATGTAAGCAAACCATAGCATTGACCTTCAAACTACCCATATGACCTTGTTGATAATGATAAGAACACAGGGCACATACTATTACCAGGTACTGGATACCAGTTAAGGAGCCTTGGTTAAGCACCTGGCTGTTAATCAAAAGGTTGGTGGTTTGAACGTATCAGCTACTCCATGGGTAAAAGATGGGCAGTCTACATCTGTAAAGATTACAGCCTTGGAAATCCTATGGGACAGTTCTATTCTGTCCTACAGGATTGCTGTGAGTTGGAATTGACCCAATGGCAATTTGGTTTTTTTGGGTTGGTTTGGGTACCAGTTCTCAATGCTTCACATGCATTAACTCACTTAATCCTCACTGTCACTCTAGAAGATAGGTCCAGCTATTATCCCCTTGCCACAGGTGAGGACACTGAGACACAGAGGGATGAAATGATTTCACTACAGTCACATACAAAACCAGGATTTGAGTAGAGCCACCACCACACTGTCCATGTTAGGTATGTCATGTAATCTCTGCCTCACAGATCTATGGAATGAGAGAGTTCGGTAGAACTCTAGGACTCTTTCCAGCTCAAGTTCCCAAACTCTCCAACCTTGTATGAAGAAAGAACCTCTACTAACAAGAGATTCTCCTGGAGTACAAAAGTGAATCTAAGTGTTTTACTATACTACTGTAATAACTTGTATTTCTTTGTTACTTACTATACTGTATACCATATATACTGCTAAGCACTTTACCTAAATTATCTCAGTGTAAATTGCTTAATGGAAAAAAAATCATCACTTTTAGGAAACAGTAAAATTCTTCACTTATCCATCTCAGATAAAATGATTATTTAAAAAAAGAAAAAAAAAACAAACAAACTCACTGCCGTTTAATCAGTCCCAACTCACAGCAACCCCTCTTTGGGTTTCTGAGGCAATATCTCTACAGAAGTAGATTGCTCCATCTTCCTTCTGAGGAGTGGTTGATGGGTTTGAACTGCTAGCCTTCTGGTTAGTAGTCAATGGCTTAGGCACTATGCCACCAGAGCTCCCAACTTTATCTACCTCAGATAAAATGATTATTAGTAGTTTGAAAATTATCTTTTCAGTCTTTTTATGCACATACATATATAGAATACTACTATTTATGAAATCGAGGTCACACTCCGCATGTTTTGTAACTTGCCCTTTTCCTGTATCTTTAGTTCCAGTTTATAAAGAGTAAACTGAAAAAATATTACTTTTAATGGCTATAGAGTTTCATCATTTGGACGATCATGTAAGGTTTCTTTTCCAATTGACTAAAAAAAACCCACATTAATCCATTTTGAAATAACTGTATACTTAACAAAATATTTGCAAAAATTGTCTGAAGAATTCTCATATACCTGTTCCCCAGTTTTCCTATACGTTAATTTCCTATACAGTTCATTTCTCAAAATGAAGACATTAACACTGATCAATGCTATTAATTAATCTATAGATCTTATTCAAATTTCATCAACTGACCTATTAATGCACTTCTTCTGGACTAGGACCCAATCCAGGACTACACATTGAATTTAGTTGTCATGTCTCCTTTGGCTCCTTTAATCTGGGACAGGATCTCAGTTTTTTTGTCTTTCATGACCTTTATATTTTTTAAAAAAAGTACTTGTCTGTTACTTTGCAGAATGCTCCTCCATTTGAGTCTCTGTGGTTAAGTTCAGGTCATGCAATTTAGGTAAGAATACTACAAAAGTGATGCTTTGTTCCTCTCAGTACATTGTATCAGGAGACATGATGCCAACATGGACTACTTGGTTAATGCAGTGAAAGCCAGGATTCCCCATGGTAAAGTTACTATTTTTCCTTTGCAAATAAGAAGCAGCTTGTGAAGAGCTACTTTGAGGCTATGTTTTTCATCATACTTTAATCTACTTATTTTAGCATCCATGATGATTCTTACCTGAAACAGTATTACTGTGACATTTGCCAAATAGTGATTTTCTACTTTTGTCACTCCTTCTGCATTTATTCGCTGGTATTCTACTGTAAGGAAGGACTTTCCTTCCTCCCCCATTTATGTATTTATTCAGTTATCTATCAGTTTAGACCTGTGAATATTTACTTCATTCTATGGGTTATAATTCACATGTGGGTAGAACAAATGGTTAAGCACCTGGCTACTAACCAAAAGACTGTACAACGAGTTTGTACGAGTTTGAATCTACCCAGAAGCACTTTGGAAGAAAGGCCTGGCAATTTACTTCCAAAAGATCACAGCCAATGAAAACCCTATGGGGCTCAGTTCTACCCTGAAAACATAGGTCATCATGAGCCAAAACTGATTTGATGGCAACTGGTTTGGTTTGCTGGTTTTATCATTACTCAGGTTTGTCAAAAGACAAACTGGTACCACAGCAGTTAAAGCATATGGCTACTAACCAGAAGGTTGGCAGTTTGAACCCTCCAGCCGTTCTGTGGGAGAAAGATGAGGCAGTCTGCTTCCACAAAGATTCACAGCCCCGGAAACCCTATGGGATCATTCTACTCTAGCACACAGGGTCGCTATGAGTCGGAATAAACTCAATGGCAGTGGGTTTTTTTTTTTTTTAAATAACATCCTAGCATGGAGTGAGGAATTTGGTCTCTGAACCAAACAAAAGTGAAGTGGAAATCCACTTCCACTGTTACTCAATTCGTTATCATAGCAAGTTTTCTACCATATTTTTTCTGCAAATAAAGTGCCCATGCATGTAATGTGCACAGATACAACACTAACATATGAGGGAGGTTGCTCAGTTTGCAAAAAACTATCTAGCTTGCACATTATTGCGTAAAAATACAATAACCTTCCAATTTTTCTCTTTGTAAAACTGGGATACCTACACCTTGGGGTGTTTAAAGATTCAACAATACACACAAAGTATTTGTCACAGTGCCTGATACACAGGAGTATTTGACATAGGCTCCCTACTATATCTACTCTGATGATTATGAAATGTTTATTCTATTCTACACTGAGCACAGTCTTTGGAAATAACATGTTTATGTCATAAATGCATTAAAAGGAGGTAAGAACACAATGTTAAGTGAAAATAGTGTCTTTGAGTCTCACTGTTATTGCCATGGTTCAGTTTGATGGTTGTGTGTACACTATGAACAGTAACAGAAAAACACATTTTATACTCACCTGTATTTTTGATGCCATTGCTTGGAGGGACTGGACCATAGGGATAGAGTAGGCAAGAGTTTTACCTTTTAAAAAAAGTGTAAAACCAATTAAAATCACAAACTACAGATATAAGAGAAGCAAAGGCCATGAAAGGAGATGGGCTGTTATCTTTGGGTCTTACTAGATTCTGGGCAAAGAAAGAATGGACATCTTATAGCCAAGACAGGTGAGGATGGGAGCTCACTAGTCTTCCATAACTCCTAATTTTGCTTTATAAATTCAATACTGCTAAAAATCCTGAAGCTTTAGCTCCTTTACCAGTCTAACAAGGGAGATAATGACACATGTCCCAAATTACGCAAAGTCTCAACTTGACAGTCGTCCCTAGAGTCTCTAGAGGACTCCTTCTCTGAAGTCTTCCTCAATCTTTCAAGCTTCAATTAAGAGTCCTCTAAGGGGCTGTCAGGATTAGGAGCCAGATTGAACCTTACAGCAAGTTTCTAAAGACTAAGGAGAAACCAAAATTCTGGGTTTCTACCCACCTGAATGGTGGTCAAGCCAGTGAGATTTGCCATCAAGGGCACAATAGGGTTAGAACAGCAAGTCCAGACTGGTCTGCACCACAGCAAAAGCAGTTTTGTGTGTTTGAACGACTGGTATTCAATAGTGTATGCTCATGTCAGAGCTCTATGTTTTAGTATCAGAGAAAACATTTATCCCCCACTAGAGTGAGGATGGGCAGCTCTGGCCATAGATGGTGGAACCTGGCAAAGGCCTGAAATAGACTCCTAGGAATGACAGCAAAACGTGACAACTTCCTGATATGGCACCATCAATCATCCCCTTCCTTTCATATGGGAAAAACTGAGTGTGCTATTCAAAAGCAAGCATAGTGTCTCCTCCCCCAAATAAAACAAAGCAACCTCACAACAGAAACAGATACTTTACTCCATAACCATGGGCCTGGGCCTGGATATCATGAGAAAGGAGACAATGAAATGATGACTGACCTGAACCTGTCTGGGATCTCACAAGAGCATCTCTGCCTTCCAGCAATACAGGAATACTTTGTTTCTGAACACTTGAGCACCCAAAAGAAAGAAAACTTATTTATCTAATATATTACTTAGTTATGTTTATAAGCAGAGATACAGGACAGACAAAATACAATTGCCCCAGTCTGATTTATCAGTTGCCACCACATAAGTTACCTAAATATTCAAGTGAAGTTGCTAAGAAACTTTTAATGATTACAAGTATAAAACCCCAGTTAAATTCCTGGGACTTTGCTAAAAAGTTGAGGCCAGCCTGAGACTTATCAATCTACTAATTTTTAAAAATTGGGTAGTGGTGGTGATGGTAGGGGTTCCTTATTTTCTTCAATATTCTTATTTTTTACTTACAGAAGAAATTAAAAAGTACTCATTATTTAAATGCACAGAAACATAGTAAAAAAAAAAGAGGTTCATCTCTTTTCCATCCCTTTCACTATTCTCATTTTATTTTCTAAGAGTCATCACTGTTAACAAAGATTTGAAAAAACATTTTCAGCATCCCATTACTTCTAACCAAGCAGTCTTTTTATTTCACTCTAATTCTTACTAATAAGAAATGACATGCTAAAGTCTGTATTTGGCCACATTATTTTCAGGGAAGCATGGACAATTGTGGTATCTTATGTAGCCCATCTTGTAGACCAGAAATCTCTTACAGTTAAAGCCAAAAGCAGAAGTGGATGGAAACTCAGCTTCTCCATTTAACCGAGTGCCTAAGTGCATATTGAGCCCAACATATTGAGCCCTTGTTGGTCAAAAGCAGGCATTCTTTTCTAATGGCAAGACAAAATTTGCTTTGTCCTCCACAGAGAAGTCAAATCTCATCTGGTTATATGCACTTGAACCTAAGAAAAGTAAGATTCCTGGAATTCTTACCTGGTCATACTAGACATTTTTAAGACTGTATTTATTGTGGAAATCTAAAAGAGAAGAAAAAACAGTATTTTAACTATGAGTTTTTGGTAAAAATATATTTACTGGTAATGTGAATGAACTTGGAGGACATTATGCTGAATGAAATAAGTTAATCACAGAAGGACAAATATTGTACTAGTTCATTATTATAAAAAGTCAAAGAAAGATTTATATATAGAAGGAAATTTTCTTTGTTGGTTACCAGGAGTGGGAAGGGAGGGGAGGGAACACTGCAAAAAAATAAAATAAAAATGGGGGAAAAAAGAGAAAAGTATGGCAGTCTAAAAAATATATATATATTTACTAGAGATAAACAAAAAGGAGAAAATATTGGGATGAAACATTATTATGATCACATTAAGTTCAAAATCACCCCTAATTTCCCTAGGGGAAATGTCCAGAGACATTTTTGATTATTACAAGTGAGGGGGGCACTCTTGAAACCTAGTGGGTAGAGGCCAAGGATATTGCTAAACATCCTATAATACACAGGACAACCCCTACAACAAAGAGTTATCCAGCCCAAAATGTCCATAGTGCTAAGGTTAGAAATCCTGCTGCAACCCAGAGGTGAGAAAAAAAGCTACATAAAAACGAAGAGGTAGGTAAGCTATGACTGTACAAAGGAAATCAAGACTACCTAACAGTGAATGTATTTTTCCCCCCTTACTCACAAGAAGTCTGGAAACTCATTCATAATTAAAAAAAAAATTACAAAATAAGTGTCATTTATTTGTAGAAAAATGCATGTTAAATAGGTTCTTCTTCCCTTAACAGTAAAATGCCAGTTCTCTCTCCTATGGTCATTGTGACATCTGTTCCAGAATGGTCTCAATATCATATTTACTCAGTAATTAGGAAGCTATCTTAAGTCCAACATGTGATGTCCCAGTCCTAAACGAAAGTCTTTAGTTCTTAAAAGAAAGAGTTAAAAAAAAAAAAAAGTGTCAGGAGAGAGTGCACAATAACCTAATAAGCACAGTAAATTGCCTTAGAAGAGTATCTTATCAACCTGAGTCCATTCAAGTGACTTGGAGCAGAAATAATCATTCCTCAATTTCTCTTCCTAGAAATGTCATTTCACAGATATTCAGAATGAGTACACATACCCAAAAAATAGAGACATCAAACCCCAAGAGATACTTACTAGGTGTGGGTGGAGGTCCAGTTCATGAAAAGCATCTGAAGTAAACACTTTCTCTTGTACCTGCTTTACTGCAGGTCTGCAAATGATGAACAAAAACCCAGGCATCAGTTCCAATATGCAAAGAAAATAGCAGAATATACTTTATTCCTTTTATTCCTAAAGTGCATCTGCACTTGGACATACCTGTGGAGTTCTGGAATTTCAGGATTGTTTTTAAACAATGAAGAACTCTTAATGCATGGCTTCTCCTCTTGGTTTACATTACTGGTGCCAGCCAAGTACTTCTTTGGAGAAAACGTTTTTTGTGCCTTCCCCTTAAGAGTCCTTCGAGTTTCTGTAACACCAGTTTTCTTGGCTGTGAAAAACGGTGTTTTGCTCCTCCGTTTCACTGGAGGAGCCTCACTGGGTGTGTGGTATTTTCTTTTGGTAGCCTCTGCTTGCTGCATTGTTCCCAGAAGGAAAGATCAACAGAGATGCATTAGTCCATGAAGACAGACCTCAGAGTGAAGCCTGACTGCCCACAGAATTGCATCTCTTCCTGCAGGGATCATTATGTCCCATATGTCAAGCAACAGTTTAGGGTTTGCAATTAGATTTTTTGACTCAGCAGTTTTTATCCCCCAGAAAAAAATCTCAGTTCATTCATCTCACCAGACCTCCCCAATCATCTTAAATGTTAAAGTAACCAGGATGAGGGTGAAGACCAAGAAAGGAGAAGCATATTTCAAGCTGAATGTTAATAAATCTGTTTAAGGGAAGAGAGAACCCACGTTCTGAAGTATACATGCTAAGTCAATCCACATCTTTAGAAGTCCATTTACACAAGAAAAGAAGGAAGAAAATGAGTCTTTTCTCTCTACCAACAAAGCAACGGTGACTACACATGGGAGAAAGAAAAGTGGGATGGCCGTGTCCTAGCTTATGCCCAGGAAGTGGAAACCTTCATTACTGCTCTATCCTAGAGGGCTTGGATCTCTGTCATTCTCTACCCTCACGCTGCTCCTCCAGATTCAGATGGTTTGGAGACAATTCCTACTTACCGTTCCAATTCCAAATGAGAATTCTGCTCCATCCATCACGTCTATCACACTTATTTCCAACTCTCCTTGGCTTTCAATTCCCCACCTGATCACTGATTACAGGCTACTAAACCAAACCTACTGCCACTGAGCTGATTCTGACTCAGCAACCCTACAGGTCAGAGTAGAACTGCCCTAAAGATTTTCCAAGGTTGTAAATCTTTGCAAAAACAGACTGCCTCATCTTTCACCCACAGAGCAGCCGGTGGGTTTGAACCACTGATCTTTCTGTTGGTAGCTTTAACCACTGCACCACCAGAGCTCCTTTATAGGGTGCAAAACTAGGTACTTTTTTTCCTATTGCTTATTTCCATTAACACAAATATGCTTAAATGCATGATGTACAACCTCTCCCTAGAATAAACATCCAATTCCTGTATTTTCTTTGGCCTTCTCTTCCTAATTACACATAAATATAAAAACATCCATTGACTTGTCAGTGGTCGTTATTCTGGAGTTTTGGTTTCTCTTGGAATATGTTATTTTCCTCTTTGCCTGAAATGATGACTTCTGCTTATACACTGGCTTGTTTTAGCCATGACTGTCAGCTTCAGAAAGAGCTCTGGTGGCACAGTGGTTAAAACATTCGGCTGCTAACCAAAAGGTTGGCGGTTAGAACACACCAGCCACTCCGTGGCGGAAAGATGAGGTGGTCTGCTTCTATAAAGATTTACATCTTTGGAAACCCTATGGGAGAGTTCTATTCTGTCCTGCAGAGTCTCTATGGGCTGGAATTGACTCAATGGCAGTAGTTTGGTTTGCTTTGGTCAGCTTCAGACTAACCTACCAGTAACAACAGTTCTTTGCTGCTGGCAATCATAAGGATTACCTTAAATAATTCAATAAATACAACTTCAAATATTTAACATTAATAAAGTAAGTATAGACCTACTTCATTTTACAAACTAATTTTTACAAGCTCCTAAGGTTAGGGAAGGAGCTCTGGTTGTGTAGTGCCTAAAGGCACTTGACCACTAACCTGAAGGCTGGCGGTTCAAACCCACCAGCCACTCCTCAGAAGGAAGAGGGGGCAATCTACTTCCGTAGTGATAATGCCTCAGAAACCAAAGGAGGGGTTGCTGAGTTGGCTCCAACTTGACAAGAGTGAGTTTTTTTTTGTTGTTGTTGTTAAGTGCCGTTGAGTCGGCCTCGACTCATAGCGACCCTTCCTTGGGTTTCCGAGGCAGTATCACTACGAAAATAGATTGCCCCATCTGCCTTCCGAGAAGTGGCTGGTGGGTTTGAACCGCCAGCCTTCTGGTTAGCAGTCAAGTGCCTTAGGCACTATGCTACCAGAGCTCCTAAGATTAAAGAAAGAGAGGAAACCAAGTTTCAGATCTGTCAAATTATTTGGAAGATGGAATGGAAGGGGCAGATTTCACTCAACTCACATCACCGGGGCAAGAGAACCAAAGAATCTTGGAGTGCAAAGAACCAGTAAGACCACTCTCACCATGTGCAGGAATCCTGACTGCAGGAAGGGTCCCTGCCAGGTGATCGTGCAGCCTCTGCCTGCACAAGTCCTCCCGGTCACCATGTCATGAGGTAGCCCACTCTAATCTTAACCAATTCTAGGGATTAGGAAGCTGCTTCTGATATTCAAATAAGATCTGCCTCCTTGAACATCTCCTACTAGTCTTAGGTTTACTTATTCTTCTACTTAATATTCTCTCATAATTTGTAATTCCTGTTTTTCATCTTTGGACTACATATTCCAAGTATGATACAAACTTTAGTCTCTTACCATCCTGGTCACTCTTAATGACTATGCCAATTATCTCTCTAAAAGCAAGTGCTCAGAGTTAAGCACAATATTAGAGAGGCTTTCCATTGCTCTCAGGCAAAAATCCAAAATCTGTAACATGATCTAGGAAGCCCTCCAGAATCTGACCTCTGTCCAATTTACCAGTCCCAGCTTTATCTTTTGCCACCCTGATCTTCCTTAAATTCCTAGAATGTATCATGCTCCTTCCCTCCTCAGGGCCTTTACACCCACTATTCCCACATCTATGTCCTCAACACTCCCTCTGGGTGGTGAACTTGTACTAATTTTTCAGACTAGGCTTCCTTAGCATGTCCTCAGAAGAGTCTTTCCTGACTTGTTCTCTCCACTCAGTCATATCAAGGTTTCCTCTGTGGCTTCCCTGACATCTTCTCCTGTGCAGCACTCAGCATGATAAGCATAGCATGTCATTTATTGTTTAATGTCTATCTTCCACATTAGATTGTAAGCTCCATAAAGAAATGGATGAGTCCTAAATAACACCTGAAGCCCCTGCACTGATCCGTGTCTGGCACAAAGTAAACACTCAATAAATACTTGTAAGATGAATGAATGACACACAGTGAAACTACTGATTGGGATACTGTTCTACTAAATGTTAATCCCCACCTCTATACCCCCGGTATCTATGACACATTCATTTAAAAAACTGACCACTCTGCAGTGGTCACGTAGCTTGGTTCTAAAGATACAAAACTGAAAGATCAGCCAAGCCCTTGATGAAGTCACAGGCTAGTGAAAGAGACAAAGGTATAAAAACATAAATCCAAGCCTTTATTTGTACCATTAAAAAAAAACCAAACTCACTGCCATTGAGTTGGACCAGACTCATAGCGACCCCTCCTTAGGTTTCCAAGGCAGTATCACTATGGAAGCAGATTGCCCAGACTTCCTTCTGAGGAGTGGCTGGTGGGTTTGAACCACCAACCTTCTGGTTAGCAGTCAAATGCCTTTGGCACTATGCCACCAGAGCTCCTGTTTGTACTACAGAAGAGATACATAAAAAAGGTTATGGTAGCATAGAGAAAGAAAGACTAATATGCCCTACGATAGGGAAAAGAAAGGCAAGGAGTCAAGGAATGCTTCTTAAGGTGGCATGTGAGTGGAGAAGGAGCAAGGACATAGCTGGAGCTATCAAAAATTAAAAAATTTAAAGGGTCAGCGAAAAACAGTAAGACCCTCCATAAGATGGACTGCAATAGTGGCTGCAACAATGAACTCAAACATAGCAATGATAATAAAGATGGTGCACAAATGAGCAGTGTTTCATTCTGTGGTAGATAGGGTCCCTATGAGTCGGAATCAATTCAATGGCACCTAACAACAGCAACAACATTAAAAATTACCTGCACAACATTCAGCAAGTCACTGCCTGGAGGCTCTGTTCCTGTACTTGTAAAAAGGGAGGATTAGAGTAGATGATTTCTGGGGCCTATTTTGGCCCTATGAATCCCAAATGTCATATCTTTGGTATTAATGCACTTATCCTGTGCTTAATATGCCAGGCAATATGCTAACTACTAACATGAACTATCTCATTTAACCACTATAGATCCTGGTGTCTCATCTCATTTTAAAATGGGGACACAGAGGCAGAGATGTGATATACTGTGTCTAAGGATCACTGGAAGACGTAAGCTTTGCCCAGACATTATAATTCAGTAGCTCAGGTTCCTGTAATACCATTTATTAATTGTACCTTGTTTGGTTAGAAAACATCTCTACTTTGTCTTGCATTTTTGCTTTCTAATAGGATATATACCAAATGTTGATAAGCTACCCATGTGTATGGCAATTATTTGGGGGTAGAGGGTATTTTAGAATCTTTTTCCAAATTTTCGACAATAAATTTGTATTAATTTGGTAATCAAAAACATTTTTTTAGAAAGATATACAGTGTTAGGTATATCATAATTTAAGGTGTCCAAGTGTTTTAAAATCCAGTATATTAGCTACTCATACAAAGTTCAGGCTTTAGCAAATCCATAATTTTCATTCAAGACATTTTGAAACAGTGGTTCATGGGATCATAAAATTAGATATCTCACATTTATTAATTCAATAACAAAGTTTTAGTAAGTGCTGCCTATATGTTTGGAGCTCTGGTAGAGTAGTGCCTAAGGCACCTGACTGCTAACCAGAAGGCTGGTGGTTCAAACCCACCAGCCACTCCTTGGAAGGAAGAGGGGGCAATCTACTTCCATAGTGATACTGCCTCAGAAACCCAAGGAGGGGTCACTATGAGTCGGGTCCGACTCGACGGCACATAACAACAACAAGCCTATGTGTTAGTTACTAGGTTTTGTACATGGCAGAAGTACCCCAATGACCTAATGATACAGCGATTCTATCATAAAAAATGGGACCAATACTACTTTATTTTTCATTATTGGCATTTATTAAGTGCACTGAAAGGAGCTCTGGTGGTGTAGTGCCTAAGTCATTTGACTTCTAACCAGAAGGATGGTGATTTAAACCCACCAGCCACTCCACAGAAGAAAGATGGGGCAATCTACTTCCATAAAGATTTACTGCCTCGGAAACCCAAAGGGGGTTGCTGTGAGTCAGAATCAACTGGATGGTA